TCTTGCCTCTTATCAGGTCTTAACCTTGAATGAAAGAGTTTTTCTCCAAACAATTCCAGCAGTAAAAATTGGCAACTTTGTTTAGAGGTCCGCTAGGTGGCAGTGTTACATTATATCCGATCTCAAGTCTCTTACAACTCTGCCTTTAAAAGAGCGTATTCAAGGGAAAAAGCCCACGGACTATAAAAATAGTTTGGAAAGGAGAAAAAAAGAAACGGAATTTTTAGTGCAGTTTTTTAAAAAAAGAATAAATCTATTCAAATCACTTCCAAAAGTCAAGAAGTTAGAAATAAAGAGAAGACTCCAACAACGAATCCACTTTAAATGGTAGCGAAAGTCCAGTCTGGCTTCCGGTAATAAAAAGGGAAAAAACAAACAAACCATCTCAATTAGCCTTGCTTAAGACCGCCGCTGAGTCTCTGGTTATTCTCATTTTACCTTAAGTCTCCAATTTTAGGGTGTTCTCTTTGCAATAGAAAAAAAGTTAGAAAAAGTCTCACCAAAACGGCATGCTTCTCTCTCCTGCGCTTGCTTTACGGAGCTGTCAGCAGCTTCAGCAGCCCTGGGGGCTGGCTCTTTATCATCGGCAAAAGGGTTTTTTTCCCAGGTTCCCAGAGACTTTGCGGGTGTCCCTGGATCCCCTGGATATTCCTCTTCCTCTCACCATCTCTTTGGGATGGCTTGGGCCCAGATAGGACCATCCAGATGATCTGGATTCAACGGCTAATCCAGAGTAACCAGAAAAGCCGCAGTACCGCTGTGACATGTGGCTCCTCCTCAGGGGGAGGCTGGCTCATCGACAAAAGGGTTTTTTCCCCAGGTCTCCAGAGACTTTGCGGGTGTCTCTGGATCTCCCGGATGTTCCCCTTCCTCTCACCGTCTCTTCAGGATGGCTTGGGTCCAGATTGGACCGTCCAGATGATCCGAATTCAATGGCTTATCCAGAGTAATCGGAAAGCCGCAGTAGCGCTGCGACGCGTAGCTCCTCCCTCCTTCACTCATTCTATACAGAACATTTGAGAGGGAAGGCCGAGAAGACTGGAGAAGAAGAACTAATGGTGCAACTGTTGGATACACCCATGACTGAAACTGAGAAGACGGAGGGCGCCGTAGGTGGGATTGATATTGAAGAAGGTGCCATAGGGGGGTGTAGATATTAGAGAACGACGGGAACAAAGATCAACTAGAGCCATAAATCCTATATATAAAGCATAACGATGGAAGGAGAAAAAATGCTCATAATATAAATGGACTTAACTCGGCAATCAAAAGAAGGAAAATATTTCACAATTAGAAAAGTTAAAATTAGACATAATTTGCTTACAAGAAGTACATATTCAACAAAGATACGGCCACGTATTAGTACAACCAAAACTTGGGAAATTTTTTTACCTCTTTGGTGGACTGCAAGAAAAGAGGAGTGATCTTTTATATTAAAGACAAAATTCCAGCGAAACAAATTTATACAAATGAAGACGGAAGAATCTTGATGGTGGAAATTATGGATAATACTAGGAAAATACTTTTAATTGCAATTTACGCACCAAATGAAAAACAAGATGAATTCTATAAAAAAACTCCACAAGAAAATTTGCGACCTAGACTATGTTAACATCTGTATGATGGGAGATTTTAATGGCATTACAAATCAGAACATGGATTATGAAACACATAAAACAATAAAACCAAAACACATAAAACAATAAAACCAAATCACATAAAACAATAAAACCAAAACACATAAAACAATAAAACCAAATAGAAAAACACTCCTGAAGTCC